AGCCCCTCCGGCCCTGAGAGGAACAGACACCAGGCAGACAGACGTGCTCGAGTCTCAGAACGCAACTCCAACAGCTCTAGGAGAAGCTTGTATGTAACCAGTGGGAGGAAAGTGGGCAATAAAGACCCAGTTCTTCAAATAATGGGAGTCTGGATTTTGATTGCTGATGGTACTTCTGATCCTGGAGGCAGAGGCAGGCAGCCACTGCTGCAGCACTCCACCCCCACACCCCCAGCAGAAGCAACTCTGAGGGGATTTAATGTGCTACCACTGCCCCACCCCCTTCATGGGCCACACATTTAAGGACCAGACCATTATAAACAGCAATCGCAAACATGGAGGCATTTAGAAGGTCCATGTGCATGCCCAGGAAAAGGTGTAGGCTTAGAAAGACCTTAAGCTTCCTCAGGCTGATCTTTAGCACAAAAACAGACTACAATAATCGCAATAACAACAGAATGAGAGAAAAAACAAATCTTGGAGAAGGGGGAGAATCTGATTTCCAGCACTTTGAATAAAATCATACTCTGAACAAAGTATGAACAAAAGCACTTTGAACAAAGCATACAAAGAGACAGCAAAGTATGGCCCACTGAAAAGAAAAATGTAAACCAACAGAAGCCATGTCTGAAAAAGGCCACACAGCATACCTGCTAGACAAAGACCTCAACTGTACTAAATATGCTAAAAGAACTAAAAAGTATGGACAAAGTTAAAAAAACAATAAATGAACATAATGCAAATATCAACAGAGACAGGGTACACCTTCAAGTGAACCATGCTCACTGTCCCAGAAGAAAAAATAAAGCGAGAGATTATTAGCTTTTGTGCAGGACTGAGAGTCAAACACTGCAAACTGATCTGCAAGGTACAAAGAGGCTTCATTCTGGTCTTGTATTTCAGGATTCAGAATCAGGAAAAAAAATTTTTAGTGCTTTAAAAGTAAGTTTTTTTATAAATGATGGATATAAAATCTATCAGATGTTTTCAAATATTTTTGCAAAAAAGGTAAATCCCTGCCTTGTTCCCCCTACCCACAAGATACAGAGTAAGAATTTGGACAGACTTCTACATGAAACATAAATATGAAATTCTCATTTATCAGTTGATCCTTAACGGCTCCAACACTTAATATTTTTAGTAAAGGTCCATTAAAATTAAGGAATCAACAAACCACAGGACAGTTGCTTTCTACTGTCATTATGATGCTCACTGAAAATGCTGAAAGACAAGAACAGGCAATGTGGGATTGCATGTGACAGATATTCAAAGGGCATGGGTCTACAAAATCACAAACAATCCAAAGAACACTGCGGGAGAAGTAAATGCTGACTTCCAAAAGAAATCCAAGGAAATCTACATGTATCATAGCCTCTGGCATCTGGTCAAAAGTGACTCTTCTTTATAGAGACACCATTTTGCCCAATCTGTTAACCAGATCAAATCAACCTTAACACACGTCTCATCCGACATGGACTGTTCCCAGTCAGTTCCAAATGAGGCAGATGGGTTGTTTCCTGACACTGTGGTGAAACTGTCATGACACAGGGGACTCATGCATCAAACATGCCACGAGACTGGCTCATCAGCTTTCTGGGAAGCAACCGAATTACTTCCAGGTCACCCTTCTTGTCATCACCGACTCCATACACATCTATAAACAGACAGAGTTTGTGGATGGGATCAGCTTTGCAAGGGTACCAAGCAAGCATCCCTGGTGGCTTCTGTTTGTAAAGTACAGGGAGGAGATATTGACCACACTTAAAATTTGTAAAATAGACAGGACGACCCTTAAAACAAGCAATATCTCTTTCTTGTGTTCTCAGGTAGCTTAACAGAAAACATTTGTTCACCATGAAAGACAAGTGATTAAAAAATGTAACCAAAGAATCTTGAAAACTTGCTCTGCAGAGTAGTGCCTGTTTCTTCTAAGGAAAGTGGAGAAGATGATCACCGCCTGCATCTGACGATCACATCACCGTGCCCCAGGGGCCCCAATGCAGCAGTGCAACAAGAAACCACAGAGGTGGCCTCGGGACACAGGTTCCTGCCTGCTTGAGGATGGGGCTGGGACATTTCCAGAGGGGGTCTAGTGAACAGTATGTCCAAACAACTGCTGAAAGAACCAACACCCTTGTAACAGATAAGCAGTCTTAACATACCATCAGACAGCTAGTGGGTATTTTAATGTCACTACTAGGCATCCCTGAGTGAGCGACTGCAGACCACCAAGGGCTGCCCAGAAGCAGAGTGTGTTTGGAGTTAAAGCAGTATCTGTGCACATCACAGGGACAGGGGTCGCCAGACACTGATGCTAATGTACAGACTCCACAAGATCACAAGCAGCAGAGAAGCCAGGCCCTCCAAGACCAAACACGTGAGCTCAGCTAACAGAAGAATGACTTAAAGTATACTGTACTTATAAACTCTAAAGTTTTATAATTCACCTTAAAAAAAAGAAAGATGAGGGCAGGGAAGCTGAAGAGTTATAAAATCCACAACTCAAATCAGAAGCGAATGATTTTAATCAATGATTCAGAAATGCATGCTCATGTAACCAACTTGTTATAAGACAGGGTTTTTTAGTAGGAAAAATACAAGGAAATGTTTTCTTCCACAAAGTTTGCAAAATCACATCTTCTTGTATTGCTCATGACCCTCTGACTCTCCCTACTGACTTAAATGGTATTTCTTCACACAAATACTTTTCATGATCAGGTTATTTCCTTAAAAAGTTATTTCTTGCTTCAGCTCTTTTACTTCAAAATAAAGAAAAGTATAATTTACTTATTGGTCTCTACCAATATTCCTTAATTAAAAACTTTTCTTAAAATATAAAGTTGACAGCCTTAACTTTTGGCATGTGTATGTGTGCATACATGATAAAAGACTGCAAGCATCACCCACACAGTAACAGCTCTAGATGCTACAAACCAGGCAGTCACCTGCTTTAGAGCTACACATGGGAACAAACACGAGTTCTTTAAGAAGTGACTGCAGTCTGGGAGGGAAAGAGATTGCCCACTGACTGGGCATCAGACTCTGGCGAGGGCTGTCCAAAGGTCCCACATTTGTGCTAGAAGCTGCTGAGAAATGGAGCAGAACTGCTAAGGGGGTGATTTAGTGCTCCGATGAGGGGCACTGTTCGCAATCATCAGTAACAGGAGAGCGAAGCTGCAGGGCTGAACCAAGGAGTTCAGATACCCTCATCATGGAATATGACATCTGGGGCAGGTTTATGTTCAGGATGACACGCACATAATGACAGGGCACCTGACGCTTACATATCCCAACAAACACTGCCTTTCAAAGTCAAGTCTCTGGGGACTCACAGGCTTGCCATTCCACCAGCACCACTTCTAGAGCTCCCTGCAGAGCTGGATCGAGAGGTGATAAGATCACCTCCATCTCAGTCACAAGCTGGTTTCCTCCCCAAAAGCCAAGATGAGCTCTAATGAATCAAATGTGCCATCACTGAAAGGATTCTGTCTTGTTCAGTTAGCCAAATATACATTAATCCTTCCTAAGTGGAAGGCCGAGCTTCTACTGTGGGGAGAAGTAACGGACGTGATGGAAGTACGTGTACCCAAGCGCCTTCTGAGAGGTCGTCCAGTGACACCCACAAGGCACATCATCTTTTCTTTTCCTTCAGGATCTCTCTAAAGGTTACTACTCTAGACAGGGAATCCTAAAAATGTCTGAGCAAGGCAATCATTCTGCCAACAAACATACTGCCATTCTCCCATCTCCTCTCATTGTCAGAGTAAAAGACAGCTTAGAAGTCTCAGGAATCTTGGAAAGCCTTGACTATCCTTTCTCTTTGTCCTCTTCTTAGACAGAAAATGAAAATTACCACAAATTATGACTGTAAGTAATACGGAAAAGAAAGTACAGTAGGTCCAGGAGAAATCTCTGACTGTGCCAGCTTTGGGTCAAGCTGAATTTGTCTAGTATGACGACAGTTCAATTTTCTTTGAACAGCTTTACACATCTTAGGTAAACTTAATATGCTCCAGGGAGGAACATACCTATCAAAAAAATTACCCCCTTTTGGGACTTCCCCAGTGGTCCAGTGGCTAAGACTCCGTGCTCCCAATGCAGGGGGCCCAGGTCTGATCCTTGGTTGGGGAACTAGATCTCACATGTTGCAGTTAAGACATCCCATGCTGCAGCTAAATATGACACAAGATCCCAAACGCAGCAACTGAGCCCTGACACAGCCAAACATGAACAAACACAGACTGCGCTCAAGGCTAAAATAATTCTTAAAAATTGTATTAAAAAATTAAAAAAACTTTACCCCTTTCTGTAGGTTTGGAAATAATGTTTGTAGATAATGTAATTTCTTCAACTCACTCAAGCTACTCTGATCAAAGACCCCAGATAATATGAAACCTTTCACCCCCAGAAAACTGGATCATACACTCCAAGGCAGCACATGTATAAATGTGAAATGGTCACACTGAGTAGCTGCTTGTGCATATTCAGAGCCTCGGTGGAAAATCTGAGGTATTTCCAGGGTGCCCACCTGTCTCCCAGAGACCACATCAGTTCAGCGGAGGTGATGGGGGGCCATCAACATTTGCTCAGGATGGTCTTACTTCACAATGCTTACGATCTCCTGGGAGCATCCCTACCTAATAGCCTAGTGTGCGTTCATTCAAGGTAAAGCAAAGGCGGGTGGCTTTCTCTCCTTCCCTTTTAGGAAGCTCTGTCAAGGGCAGAAAGTCTAAATTATCTCCCAGTCCTGCCATCATGTTTACTGGCCAGAGAAGGAGCCACAGATTACTCGTGGGAGTGGGGGAAAACAACACACACGCCTTGGCAGCTGCCAACAGCAAGTGCTAAGATAAAAAACAAGCAACACCACTTTAGCAAATATTAAAATCCAACGTCTCCTGCGAGACTGCAGGTACAGTCGGTTCCTGATTCCAGCTGCATGACGACAGGGCCTGGAAGAGCTGAACGGCAAGGAAAAGTGCACGAGTTCACATACTTTCCTATGTACACATATGAATGCATAAGGATGTTTCCACAGCTGCATTTGTGGATGGAGAATGGCTTTCAATTTGCAACCTGAAATCTGTTAGCTAATTATTTAGAAATAAAAACATGAAAACAAAACAGTTGCCTTTAACTTCAAAGCAAATAATTCCGAAGGGCAGCTTAAGAAAACTACTTGCATGGCTGACAAAAAAAAAAAACAAAACTCCTGTGGAGGGTGGATCTCTAAACTGTCCGTATTTCCAGCATCCGGGCCTCTACGGGGACGCCGGCTCGGCGGCCGTGGCCGGCAGGCTCCCCCGTGATCCTCCACAGAACCGACGCCGCCCGCGCGCCCGGTGTCCACACGCACACGGCCCACCCCCAGCGGCTGCCCCCACAATCGCCCCGCCTCCCGAAACCGCACCGCCGGACGCCGCCCCATCCTACCCCCAACACCTTGGAGACGGCCGTTCCTCCACACGCTGAGACACCCGCTGAAGCGCGGCTCCACGCGCCCGAGCCCGGCCCGGCGGCCGCCCTGAGAGCACCCGACACGGCAGCCCCTCCCAACCCTTCCGCCCGGCCCCGCGGACCAGAGCCTCTACCCTGGCTGTGTTGGGAGACGCGGACGAGCGGAGTCCTGCGGAGTCGGCGCGGGCTGCTCACCCGGCTCGCCGCTCGAGTCCACGCGTGATCCGTAGCCCGCGGGGCCTGGTCGGGCAGCCGACTGCGTCTGCGCGTGCGCAATGCGGCGCCAGGCCGGAAGCGTGCGCAGGGACGCGTCCGCGCCAGCACAGCAATCCCGCGGGGCGGGGTGGGGGGCCGTGGTCGTGGGCGGGGCTGCGGGCCGGCCCGGTCCGCGCACGCGCAGACGAGCGCTCCCGAGAGGCCCTTGGGCCCCCCCGCCGCGTGCAGGGCAGCCTCGAACCAGGAGCTGCGGGGCTGCGCACGTGTCCTCGAGGACAGGGGCAGCAGACTCTGCAGGTTTTAACGCGCACCAAGAGACCTGCCTTTTGCACTTCATTGTGTGTTTCACAAGCAGCAAGGCCCCGTCTGTTCCGTCTCCTCCGTCTAATGGAAATATACAGACCGAGGCTTCGCGCCACCGCTGCGTTTAAGTGAAGTCACTCAGTCGTGTCAGACTCTTTGCGACCCCGTGGACTGTAGCCCACCAGGCTCCTCCGTCCATGGGATTCTCCAGGCAAGAATACTGGAGTGGGTTACCATTTCCTTCTCCAGGGGATCTTCCCAACCCAGGGATCGAACCCGGGTCTTACGCACTGGAGTCAGACGTTTTAACCCCTGTGCCACCAGGGAAGCCCTAACCCCTGCGTTAGAGGCCTTTAAAACCCCGCACATGGGCCCCTCCACGGTGCGTCTGCCGGAGCCACGGTAGACCCTCGCCTGACACCTAGGGCTCCGGGGATCCGAAGATGCGGTCCCCGTGCTGAGACCACCTACAAGCTGGGCATGCCCTCCCCTCATGAAGCGGCAGCGCTGTGTGCAGCGACTCATGGGTGGGAGCGCGCCCTCCGCGCTGCTGGGTCAGAGCCGACGCCTGCGTGCTGACAGGAGGCGCTTGCAGACCCCGAGCAGTGTCCTGACTGTCCTCCCCCAGGGCCACCAATCCATGCAGCATCCTTGCCTGCCTTCCCCTCATCCTCCTTACCAATTCCGTCCTCTTCCCACGTTACCTTCTGTTGAATACCTTTAATCCTTTCTAGTTATAAGGTGAGGATATAAATTAAAAACAGGTTTGTCACTGTGGGAATACCGTAATTTCCACTTTAAATACGGCCCCCAAGCTTAGGGCAAACCATGCTTTCATTTTTTCTTTGATTGCTTGGATGACAAGTCCACTAAGCCGGATATGTCAAAATGAGCTATAATTTAGGAAAGCAGCAGGAAAGAAAACATATACATCAAGCTAAAAAGAATAAATATGAACCGAGAGACAATAACCGACTTTTATGGCAGTATATTTTTTACAGAGGTAGTAGTGTTCCATACATAGGACACACTGCCTTGGCTTATTCAGCAGAAAGGCTTATTTATGTTAAAGCAAGTTATTTTTGGATTAAACAGATCTATAATATTTTAAGCTTTCAAAGTTTCAACTGCTTTCACCATGAGACAATAGTTATCTGCCATTTAATGTGTATTACTGTTATTTTTATAATTAAAGTGACCACAGTTGTCAGAAGTTCAGATAGTTTCACCTCCACCAACAGTGCTGACTGCTAAGACAGCATGTCACATAATACATACATTAAGATTAAACTCTTCCAGCTGAAACGCTTGCATTAATTTAATAGCTTTTGCAAATCATAAAAAAAAATTTAAGATACCAAGAGGCAGTTTTATTATCATTGAAACAAAGGGGAAAGAAATTGCAGGAATTCCCTTGGCAGCCCAGTGATCAGGATGCAGTGCTTTCACTGCTGAGGCCCTGGGTTCAATCTCTAGTCAGGGAACTGAGATCCCACAAGCCGTGTGGCCAATAAATAAATAAAGGGAAGCTACTCGTCAAGTAAACTGGACTAGAAAGATACGTTCAAATCAACCTCAATTCAGGAATTACTCCTTTTGTGTGGCCCTGTGATACACATGACAGACCTGTGATCAATGAAAACCCTAAGAAGCTTAGTCAGAGACTGAGTCTATGTCTCCAGCCTGTACTCTGCCAGTCCCAACAGCTTCGCCAGGTCAGTCCTGAGAAAGGACCATCCCAGGCACTGCAGTTACAAGCAGTTGTGCAAATAAAACTGCAGCCCGAGAGGCAGGGCTTACTGAGAGGAGTATCTGAAAACTGACCTGGCAAAGCAATCAAGAGTGAACACCACCAAAACTTAAAACTGCTAACTACTACAGGAATAAAAGTATTTAGCACGTCCCTGTTTTAAACTCTCTCTGCAGGACTTCCCGGGCAGTCCAGAGGTCAAGACTGTGCTTCCAAAGCAAGGGCGAGGGTCCAATCCCACATGCTCCACAGCGAGACCACAACATATAAAAAACAAACGAACAAACAAAAATCTGTCTTTCCTTCAGGTTTTTTTTTTTTCATTTATCAGCTCTGAGAAGCATCAGTGCCTTAATCACAGTTCATTCTCTTGCTAGATGTTAAAAATAATTTACACTGAAAGAGTTCAGCAGGATGTTGACTTATGTGCTAGAAATGACAGTGCTTGCTGCCATTGGTATTGTATGGTGTTTCCAAGCAAAAGATTTTTTCCTTGATATCACCAAATACCTTTGCTTCCACTTTGCTTCCACTTAAGTTTTAAAAGAATTACCACTTGAGATTACAAAAAATGCACAGGACCCAATCTGAGATCCTATGTTTAAGAAACATACAAAAATGTTTCATAATCTAATTAATTCACCAAAGTCATCATTCATAGACCACACACTATAAACACACAATACTTAAAGAGAACACTAGGATTTTAAAGATGGTATCTAAGAAACAACACCAGACTTTTACATTCATGGCCTCTAAGACCATCTACAGCTCCCTCAAATGCCAGGTGATGCCAGGTTAAGGTCCCCCCCTTGAGAATGAAAGAACTCCACTGAATTCCTAAACAGCCTAATGTTTCTTTATCCATCCTTGGAGTAGAATTAAATCTCAACATAACCTAAGAAATCAACAAACATTCAAAGCAATATCAAATTTAAAATAAAAACTTTACCTTTCACGGAATATGTCTACAAGATTTAGGATTAGGTAAAAAAGAAAGAAAAAAGTACCAGCAGATGGTACTTTTCCATCTTCCCTGAAAAGTCAAGAACAATGATCCAACTACACTTACTACAAATATGCCTCCACTCCAGTGATTTAACTAATAACTCTGAAATTCTTTCTAAGAGTGTGAGCTGAGATAAAAACACATCTACTCAGTACAACAGAATATAAATGAAATTCTGATTTTCTCTTTGAATCTTGGACATTCTATTAATATTAGGATTGGGTATTCTCCCAGAAGGTAATGCAACTCCCTATTTTTAACTGTGCAGATATGTCCTCATGTTTTTTATTTAAAATTATTTTGACTGTGTAACGTCCCCAGTGTCAGTCATCCTTGGCTGGTCAGTGAAGTAGCACCATTCCGTAAGTTTCATATGGTAGTCTAGCTAAACTCCCATGAACAAATCACACATGATCAAAACAAAAATGTAATAAAAATATTTAGTGAAGACATTTTAACTCCCATTTATGAATTTAAAAATACAAATAAAATTTTATCAATTTGATATTCAGCTTATAACTGGCTCAATACACAGCCTTGATTTAATTCCTAGAATTGTACTATAGCATCTTTTGAAAAATTAAATGCAACTTTATATCTTTATTAATAATGTTAATAGAGGTGAATATTTAAACAGTATACTTATCCCTGGGTCTCTTAAAAAAACTGAAAAGTCAGTATAAGTTTAAAATTTTAATATTTATAAATTTAAAAAATTTTACACATGCTGAATGGTAGCAGTGCTAACATTTTGTGACCATTAAACCAGAAATGAAGCCAAAAAGCTCACTGCATGGAGCTTTTTCCTTTGTACAGAGAACCAAATCACAATACCAGTATTTGCAATCTGTCACCATCTTACATGGTAGATGACACCACACCAGGCAGCCTGGCTTGAGACACTGTGGGGCACATACCCCTCAGGTACAGAGCACAGACGCACTGCTGAATGTCAAGCTGGGACAGTCAGCCATCAGTACATTCTGACCGCTCCTAACAGCTGAGAGCCTAAGAACACAGATTGAAAAGAAAATCCAAGGCCAAAAGCTCTCCAATGCTGGAAACTCTGGGACCAGGTGAAGGGCAGATCACAGAGGGCAAGCGGGACATAGATGGTTTGGGGTGAGAGCCGTGGGGGCCGACATGCGGACCACCGTGCATCCACCTTTAATGTGCACAGAGCTGGAGACAAGAAACAGATGACGTCATCCATCCTCTGCAGGACACAGAGGATGCCCATCGTTAGGCTTTCATCTTTACCTGAACCAAATACAGTCTTTGGCTAAATGTCATGGATTCCCAGTATAACTGATCAGGAATACGTCACATTTCTTACATCTAAATTAAAATGTTTAGAGTTCAATTTGAACTACAGCACTTCAAACTAATTTCAGCTCAGCAATATACCTAAGTTGGATATTTTAAAATTTTAGAATATCAATTTTTAAAGAGTTCTTAGATGCAGTGTTTTCAGAACATAGTTATTACCAAGTCAGAGAATATCCACTTACATTTAAAAATAATTTAAAACATTATTATCATATCCTCAAATCACCTATGCTGTTTTACAGAGAAATTTACATAAAATTATAATATTAAGAACTCAAATTCCAAATTGGTTCCTTATTCTCTGGTTATGAAAAACCCCTAAGAAGTACTGAGGTTTCTTCTTCTGAACAGTTAATATTTTATTCAGGAACTTATAACAAGAATCATTGTCAGAGACAGCTAATTACTAAGATCTAATGACAACACCTCTAACAGCAGAGGTGACAAACAGAAACATGTAAAATTATGAAAATAATATTTTAAGGGTGCAACAGACCCTGCAGATTAAGATACTCAAACTTGAAATCCTTGAAACTGACAACTCATTTCCTTCAGTACTTGAGGGATTTATACAAGTATTAACAGACATGGAGAATATGGTCATATCAGAAATACAAAGACTTGACATTTTTGGTAGAAGAGAAAATCCAGCCAAAGACAGTAAGGGAAGTTAAGTAAAGCTGACTGGGGGAAAGATGTTTGGTTTTGAAATGCAAGCTGTGAAGAAAAAAAAAAAAAAAGGTAGTAACCACCTCCTCTGAACAGAGTAATGTAATATAGTTAAAAACACTGTTTACAAGGAAATAAGACTAAATTGTTAAAACTAGTTTGAAAAAGACTGCAAAGTTTGGAAATATGCCATGATTTCCCAGCCCATGAAGACCCAAATCAGTGTTGAAAAGATGCTGTCAGGTGTGCCCCAGGCAGCCAGCCGCCCAGGACTGCACACAGAACCTACACGCTGACCAGTCCTTCCCACAGAGCTGCTAACGCTTGTCAGAGGTTGTCACAGGAATACACACTGCAAAGATACACAGAGTCCGCAGGGACTGCGCCTCCAGACACAGAAGGGCCGAGGAAAATAAAACCCGAGAAAGAGAGCTGACAGCGGAGGTGAAAGGACGCCGTCCGTGAACCAGAGAAAGTATAAACACACTCATGTAGGAACTCAAATACGCAACGGTGTCCCTTGAATGTATAAAAATGGGGTACAAATAATGTTTTTGCTTTTAAAACTCCTTTGACAACAGTTTTAACAGTAAAAATCAATTTACTAGAATTAAGCCAGCGTTCTTCACACCCACTCAGCCAAGACCATAACAACAAAACCCTCCAAAACTGGGAAGCCAACAAACATAGCAAAGTAAAACACAACACTCAAGCTAAACAGGTGTCCAACCAGGAAAAGACACACACAAATGCCTGGAGAGAGCCTGGCTCCGACCACCCAGACATGGTGGCGGCCAGTCCTTCCAGTCTGCCACTAACCCACAGTCTTATGATACTTTCAGTAACATTTGGTCCAAGCTGAAGAAACTCTCAGTTCAACTGAATGGTTCCTAATGAAAACACAGTATCATGACAGAATATGGGCAAATTTAGCAAAGACATCTCTGTCCAGATGCCCTGTTGTTTACCAAGGCAGAGTTGTTTCCACTTATCTTTCCTTTTTTAATAACAACTTGAGTACAGTCTTGTCACAGTCAGAGGACTGGCCCGGTCGGCTGCATCTTGGCGCCCTTAGGCAGAGGGACAGGGATGTATTTAGATCACAACTGCTGGGCCCGAGGACACTTGGACACTGAAACACCAGAACAACACAAACAGAAACAGAGTGACTCCTGCTGCCTCTGACTTCAAGTTCTCTAAGGGAAGGAAAGAGAACCCTAAAAGTAAATGCACTGTCCCAAGTGTCTCAGGAAGGTGGTCATACGTGTACTTCTGGAAGAGGACACCAGCTTCCCCAGATGTCTTCTGAGATGTTTCTGTTCCACCTCAGTTGTTAACCAGCCATGATTGAATAAGAGAACATTCCACAAAAAGCTGAGGCTTTGCTCTGTGTCCAGTGGTGCCTGCATAGGCTGGGAGCCTGTAACTGACCAGAGCACAGGGCCCTGCACCGCACACGTCCTGTGACCGTGCTGTGGGTCCTGACCCACAGGGGCTAGGATCACACGCCTGCAGTACACAAATCCTGATTAAAAAATCAAAGGAGATCAAGGTGAACTTTTTAATCTCTTAAGTTCATGTGGCTCCTGTGAAATGAGGGTGATTACTGCTCTGACATCCCCACGTTTAAGTGTGTGTATGAACCAGCAATTCACATCCTTAAAAAGAGTTATTGCTTAAGCAAGCCATTCAGAGCAGAGTATCAGCCACAGGCCACAAGGGTGGACAGAAACAGAAACGTACTCAGAAAGTTAGACTAGGTATGAATGAGCCTTTCATTTCACCCATAAAACCACAAAAACACAATAGAACGGGCCCTGGGTTCATAGCAGCCAACACCCTAACCACCTCTGAAGTGTCAAGACTTGATTTCTTACTAAAACAATCTGCTCCTTTTTGTAATTTCTTCTGAAAATTAAGGCAATGAAATGGCTACAGTTCCTAAAGTTATTTTCATGGAACAAAAATAGACACACATTTTCCTCCTCTGGTTCAGGCATCAGAGCAGGTTCACAGGACCTGCAGTGGTCAGGCTGCCGTGACCCAGCAGACAGGGGGTAACGAGAGGCCACAGACACCCACCCTGGTGCCCTTCTCTGGTCGGAGCACCTGCCCCTCCCAGGGAAGGACCGGACCGGGTTGGGGGGCGCGGGACACATTGCTAGAAGCGTTCGTGTCTCCCGCACTGACTGACAGCTGCGGGGTGGCAAAGGAGAGGAGCTTGTTAAAATGAAGAATCCAGGGTCCAACAAACAAACTCTGAGGGTCCATGGTTGGGCCCCAGGGTCTACCCTTTCAACCAGCTCCTCAGTGATGTGCCGTCAACGGCCAGTGGCCAAGCAGACATCCAGCTGTTTGTAATGACAAGACTGGACGCTGGCGGCCACCTGATGCTCTGTCAAAGAGGGAAAAGGCACTGGGGATGTACTTCCTGGTGCCCACGTGTGTTTGCACACAGACTGAGTTTCATTTGACAAAGTACAAGCCCTACGCCGCACGGCGGCTGACGCCTACAGCAGAAGCCGATTTGAGCCGACTCTCCCCGCATCACACCCCGAGCTGGCAGGCTCTCCAGAGTCCGAGCGGCTGTGGGATTGATGAACAGGACAAGACTCTAGTCAACTTTCAGCAATTCAGTGCACTTCGCAGGAAGGGTCTGGTACAGCATAAAGCTCTGTTGTTTATTTTACACAAAGGAGACCACCAACATTTGCCATAAACTCTTCTAAACTCTTCAGGAAGGCCATCTTCTGCTTCCGGTCCAGGGCAGGGGGCGTGCTGCTTGCGGTCAACTTGTTGAAGGCATCAGCTAGCCTCTGGTAAATGACTGGGTCTTGCTGACTTGACAGCAGTGTTTCCACCAGTTCAGAGTACTCTGCCTGTTGAAGAGAGAAGGGCACAGAGCATCCGTAAGATAAGTACATAAGAGCATGACCATCCTCAGACACTACACAAAACACCAATCAGTGGGCTGCAGTGTCCAAAAGGCAGGCCAGCAGCTCTTCTGATCCTTGACACTTCCTGCTCTGAGCTTTTCCACTGGTAACTCACTGCTGTGTAACAAGCCTGTGAGGCAGACTCTGTTGACACCCCTGCTTTACAGACAAAAGCTCTCCACAAAGAGAGTCGAGGACATACCCAAGACCAGAGGCCTTTATCCAAGAACCCGGGTCCAGAGCCCAAAGGATCAGCTACCTTGGGCCGCCACCTCTCCCTGCTGTTTCAAAGCACTTTTTTTTTGCATTTTACGATACTCTTGGTGGGTAGATTTATGGTGGACTCCTGGGCCCTATGTCTTCAAGCTGACTCCCAGGTTTCCTTGAGGTTGATGCAGAAATCCTACCCGCATAGCAACAACAGCGCATGCACAAAGTGCAAACAGAAGCTGGGCGGGGGGCGGGGAGGGGCATGGCCCTGCCTCCCTTGTAGCAGAAAGGAGGTGTGCTCCAGGCTCAGTGGCATGGGACGGTAGTGGGAATGGCTTCCCTGCCTGTGACGCCCTCCACAATAAAGATAAGAGCCATGAAAAAGGCTGCTTTTACTCCTTCTCCTGAGTTTCTCAGGACATCATGAACCAAAGCGGGGAGGCCAGATGCTAAACCCATCTGGACAAAGAGGAGTGAGGCACACACCCCACCCCATGCCCCAGCATGGAGCTGGCCTAACTGCCCCCAGGAGGCAGGCCTGTGCACAGTGATTGAGTGTACACATACACACAATGACACGAGAGAGTGAGTGCGCACACGCGCACACGCACACACACACACACACACACACACACACACACGTCACTTCCCCAGTCACAGGAATAGCAGTGGCTCTGGGGCCAGACCAGCCAAGCCTGAGGCCCTGCCCTCTTTTCTACAACATGTGCCTGTGTTTTCTAAAAGGCCACCAAGATGTAATGGCTTATGTCCAGGGGTGGAGGAAAGACGGTGGAGGGAAGGAAGTAGGTGATGGAGGAGCACCACGCATGGCAGAGGTGAGGAGTCCCTGAGCCCCCTGGAGCCAGGTGCTGCAGGAAGGTAGTCTTTAAGTAGCACGTGAGGCTCTTCAAAACCTACCCTGGGTCCCAGGCCCAGCAAATGCACAGCCTCCGTACCTCCCCCACACCCACAGGCACCTCCCCACTGGGAAGGGGGACAGGGCGCTGTGGAAAATGGGCAGGCCAGTCAAACCCCTGTACTCCCCCCATCCCCGCCCCGTCAAGGGGGTACTGCACATGCCCTCCAGGCTCCAACCGCCCACAGCTGTCCACCCTGTCCTAGGAGACAACACACTGTGGCTTTCCAGGCTTCCTGGGGGCAGACTCCTCAGAATTCCGAGGCTCCTGTATCTCGTTTCCTTGCAAAACTGTGAGTTTCTCAAGGACAGAGACCGTGTCTTCCAGCACAGGTGTTCAGGACAAGTTTTAGGGTAGCCATCAAGCAAAGGATGGTCATGACAGTGGAGAAGGGAAAGTAACTACTTATGAACAGTCTGTCAGATAAATACAGAGAATGCCTGAGCTACTGAGAACAAGGCTTCGAGGAAGGAGCAGACGCATGAACGCCCAGTCCCTGAGGAACAAGCAGCCCATCTGTCCAACACCCCCACCCCCGCCTCATGAGCCAGGAGAGGCCCAGGGACACACCAGTACCTGATGCAGGCACACCAGCGTGTAGAAGGCCTCGCCGGCCGCAGTGGTCATCTCCGTGCTGTGCTTCTGCAAAACCAGCATATCAAACACCAGCTGAAAGACAGAGCAACACCTCTCAATAAAGACATGGGATGACCGTACCACCCTTCAGTCCCTCCCCATGCCAAGAGGGAAAAAGAAGGTGGTAGTTATTCTTATTAAGTAACTCTAAAAAGTAAAGAAAATGGTTTTCTAAAAACCCAAGGACAAATGTGAAGATGTTACTGCTTGCTGTAGTAAATAAAGTTATCGGATTATCGAATCCTGGTACAGTCACCATGTGGAATTTCAAGAACACAAAGCGACAGAGGAGTGGTATCCGAGGAAGCTAGGAAGCTGAGCTCCAGAAACCTCAGTGGAAAGAAAGACAGCCTTGTCAGGGACAAAGCCATCAGAACCGCCTGGCAGGAAGGCCCAGAGCCTCACCTTGAGGAAGTGCCGCGTGGCCAGGAAGAGGGGCGCGTCCGTCTCCTGGGCTTTTGCACACTGCTCAGCTAATGGAGTCAAAGCTTCCAGGCACAGCTGGCAAACCTCCGAACTCATTCTGATCACCACGGTCAAAGAACAACGAGCACAGAGAGCCGTGACTCAGAACACAACACTTAGAGCTGTCAGCCAGTGGACGGCTGTTCTAGAAGTGAGTGCACTGAAGTGAGTACATGGGAGTTTGCTGAGTGAGGTGAGAGACGAGAATTCCCCATTGTGTCCCAGCCTGCCCGCATGGGGCCCAGGACTAGGGGTCTCCATGTGCTCTGACTGCAAAGCACACAACCGAGTAGGGCTAAGATCAGAGGCCAGCAACAGGGCCCAGCTCCACTGACTGGGCTCTGTCAGACAGGACTCTGGGACCAGGGACCAGAGACCCTGGGATCTGCGAAAGGAAGCCAAGGTGAGGCAAATTCATGAAGAAACATAGCATCATTGTAGCTAAGAGACGCTGCTTTTCAAGAAATAAGACTGAACAACAAAAGGAAAAACACAACTCCTGAAAATGCTTCTTCAAGCACCGTCTTTCCCCAGTGCCAAGTGCTCACGACACACATTTAAAGGATATGATGTCATTCCTAGTTCCAGGGAGTACATCAGACTTTTAAAAAGATCTTCAGGAAGCTGTGGTATTTTCTCAGGAAAAATCTCACAGATAAATGTGATTAATTTGTAGTATTGATTACACAGAGTTGGAAACTGAAAAAGAAATATTAAATATTTAGATGTTCAATACCTGTTTTCATTAGTGGAATAAAGCATTAAGCACCAAGCTTCTAATGGTTTGTTTCAAACATATACAGGATACAGAAAACACAAAGACACAAATAAGATGTTTAAAAAAAGTTACAATAAAACGAGTATGTTAGGAACTGATGGATCCTGTGCTGGGAACTAACAACCCTCACCCTGACCCTCAACTGCACAGGGTCTCCCCCACCATTCTGTGTACACACACACTCCTCAGGGTCTCCCCCACCATTCTGTGTACACACACACTCCTCAGGGTCTCCCCCACCATTCTGTGTACACACACACTCCTCAGGGTGTCCCCCTATTCTGTGTAGCACATGCTCCTCAGGGTCTCCCCCCATTGTGTGTACACACGTCCCTCAGGCTCTGCCCCACATTCTGTGTATACACACGCTCCTCAGGGTCTGCCCGTCCCCCGCATTCTGTGTAGCACCCAGCCCCCTCTTCCTCTCCCTCCTACTCCTGGATGGTTCTGGGGTGGGCGGGGCAGAAGGGGTGTGAGGCCTCATCACCAGCACACCCTCCACACAGACTGGTGAGAGGAGACAAGGCCCAGTGCAGTCAGACAGGGAGCATGACCAGCTGAGTTAGCCCTGCTCTCTCCACCTGTTTGTCCAGGAGTGGCCGGAATGGACCCTGATGCCCAGCCCCTCAGCCTGGGCATGTGCTGGGGAAGTACCAGAGGACACATCTACATGTTCAACTACACACACACAACGTACTGTATCTGCTGAACACAAGAGACCAGCGAACACTAGCATTCGGTCTCTAGAAGACCCAGTCTTTCCCTGCCACCGAGGGACCAATGGGCACAGGGCTGGGGCAGGCCCAGGTGTGAAGGACACAGCATAGCAACACACAGGCTGTTTTCACGCACACTTCACAGGTACTGGCCCCTTAATTAAATCAGACATGCACTTGTGTCCCAAGTATCCTGAACCTTCACGTTCAAGCACGCATGGTTTCAACGTTGACATTCCTCTCTTCACGTGCCTTCAAGAGGTCCTGTGACATCAAAGGCAGGATCAGGTTCACTCCATATAACACAACGTCCGCCGCCGACACAGATCTGCTCGCTGCCGGCCCAGGCTCCTGACCTCTGAACACTTCATCTGCAATGTGACAACAAAGCAGTCTTACAGCTGCAACATCAACAGACAGATATGCTCTCCCACCTGACAGTGAAAGTGGAGTCACGCCCCAGGACAAAACAAATCCATGGGAGGATGACACAGACACCCGGGTCCTCCTTTCCTGCTTCGCTCTAAGGGTCTGAGCACTGGGTGCAGGTATTCTGTGCTGACATTATCATTCTACAGTGATAAAAGTAAAACTAGTGCTTCATCAACGTTTTTTGAAAAGTAATGGTGACTCCACTGACACAATGGTCATATTGTGGAGTAAATTATTTCCGTAGCAATATTCATTTTTCTCCTAGGTACGTGGGATTTTTCTAAGCTGAAAAGGAAGGGAGAAAAATACTGGAATATTACATAAAATAGAGGGGTTTTTTTTTTTTAAGTTGCCAATATGACAAAGAATTACTATTCTTAATCCAAAAATGAGGCATAAATTACTAAGACTCCTAAGACCTAGATAAAGGGCCAAAATCCACAAATAAACATCTAAGAAACTGTATTTCAAATGTTCAATATTAGGAAAACAGGTGGGTTAACATGCAGCCATGAGAAAGTCATGAGATGTGTTAAAGACGAGGGAAAAGCTAACAATGAAAAAGGCAGAATATGAAATTAATTTGGACTATGACCACAAAAAAATTTTTACAAAATAACCTAAAGAGAAATTAACAAAAAGCAACTGAAACAGCTGACTCTGGATTAAGTCAAAGTATGGGTGGTTTTCGGTCTATATACTTCACATCTCTTCTACTATGAGATATTACACTCACAACAAGGAGGGGAAAAAAAAATGGGGTTAAAAAAAAAAAAAAACCTACCTCTACTTAAAAACCATGTTTTCAGTGTAATTCTGTCCTTCTCTCCAGAGGCTCAGCTCTAGCTGAGAGGATCCTACTGTCCACAGTCGGGCACTGCTGAACCTCAGTCCCACTGGTAGGAAGCCTGGGCTGCTCGTGGGGCTCCCCGCGCCCCGCACCTGCTCACGGGACAGGCTCTGGGCCCGGACTGGGGCACTTGGCTCTGCAGCCGCCGGTTCCCCCAGGAACGTCGCTCAGAGGCTCACTTTCAAATGTGCTTTGATATCTCACCCAGTGTGTTATTAATTTTATTTCATAATATTAAAATATTTTCTATCTCACCTATTACCTTTATTTTTAAAATAATCACTTAAAAACATTCTAATTTTACCATCTGTTTTATCAGCTAATGCTGCTGCTTTTTCATTTTGTACTTTAACTGTCTTCATTTTTTTTCCTTCTAGATTTCAACTCTACCCACCTTTATTCTTTTTACCCTTATTTTATACTTTCAATCCTGAGCATTTTGGCCTCAATTTCTTTTCTAACATGTTAAAATTATTTTAATCCTTTTGCTTTTTCATTCTGAAAACCTGCCTGTCCACAGTGACCCATAACCTCTTTTCCATGGCTCACTCCTGGGGTCTTCTGGCCCCTCCGAATGCCCTTCACACAAAGCTCTCTGTTCCTCCCAACTCCTCAACTCCAGTCAGGGCTCAGGGCTCGCGCACTATGGTCCACACTCCCCTCAGATGTCCACACACCAATGGGCACAGTGCTCGAACCTCAGCAAGTCGTGTCACACACACCCTTCGAGGGAAAGGTCAGAACAGCTTGAGGCATTAAGGGTCACCTGATCTAGGAAAGGTGACGCAGTGCCAGCCTGAAGGAATCAGGAACCCCAGGACCGACACCCATGTGAGCAGCCAGGCCTGGAGACAGTGGGCAGTGGAGGTCCGTCATCTCGGGGCCCTGACACAGGGCAGAGACTGCCAGAAACCGCTGGCGAGTGGACAGGAAAGTGACCAGTGCAAAGAACAGTGTCCAGTATCAGGTGTGCTGAGCCCAGGGGGTGGGAGGTTTCTGAGAAGAGGAGACAGCAATACCCACGAGGTCAAATCACCCAGATGCACTGGCCTGTGTCAGCGGAGGTGATGAGACCGCAAGTGATGAGAACAGGTACCAGAAGTACCTTGCAGCTCATCGTTAATCCACCTGAAACCCACCTGACTAGACAGGCACTGACCATCACACCCCCTCTATAGTGAGGGAGGCCCAGCAGAGCTAACAGACTTCCCCCAGGTCCTGCTGGTGGGGAGGCCCCAGCGCAGGGCTTCACAGAGTGGTGTGCCAGTGCCCAACTTCAGTGGCTCCCAAGCCACACTGACCAAGGGCTCGGGCTCCCTAGGCATACCGCAGAGGATACAGAGGAGCGAGTCAATTAAACTAACTCTGTAGACAATGGCCTCTGGAGTCCCATGAGGGGATGTGAGCACCAGCCCTGCTACCGGCTAGCTGTGCACCACTGGGCAAGTGGCACAGCCTCTCCATGCCGTTTCCTCCTCTCATGTGAGTGAGCAGTGGTACCAGCCTCATGCTGCTGGACAGGAGCATGCCTGGCACCGACCGGAACCTCATGAAGGGCAGACATCAGCACTGCTGCCCCGGAAGAGGAGAGCCCGGCACAGAGAGCGCTGGGCCCCCTGCCCCGCCCCCACAGCCACAGAGACCAACTCTGCCTACCATGTGAACAGAGCTTGCCGGGGAGGCCACACCGAAGCCTCGCACACGTTACCTGTGTCGCTGAAATCTATGAACTCTTTGGACAGAAGGTTGGTCAGAAGCTCCATGATGAGCAGAAGGTCCTGGTACTGCTCCTCCTCAGCTGTGACATCGATTCTCTGCCGCCCCAAGTTATTCTTTGAATACACTTGCAGCAGAGTGAGGCAGGCTTCATACAAGTTCATGGCTTTGGACTGCAAAAAAGCAGGCAGAAGTTACGCTACGAGGGAGAACCTGGCTGGGAAATAAACATAAATATCAAAGAACATTTAAATTCAGATATAATAAATTTACTCTAAATTCTGATAGTTGCTCTAACATTTGTTTTAAATTATATTAAAGCATTAATAAAAATGGAAAAACATAAGACTACAGTTGCATTTAAAGTATTAGTAGTCTAACATAAAATTTGACACTTTGTGTGAATTTGATAATACATACGAGAAAGACAGTATGATTTTGGCAACAGAACTGCTTTACTACTTCAACTTCTTGTATGACAAGTTTTATTTTAAGATTGAAAATGGTTTAACTTGCAGAAGCACAGAGTACCAAACCTTAGAATAAACAGCCCTGGCCTAACCACTGAACAATGCAACTGTGATGACACTTAACACCATTTACAAAATGAAACCTCACTTCTGAGCAGTTTCCTTTGATCTAATGGAGAAGGAAATGGCAACCCACTCCAGTATTCTTGCTTGGAGAATCCCACAGAGGAGCCTGGCAGGCTACAGCCCGTGGGGTCGCAAAGAGTCGGCCACGACTGAGCAACTAAACCACCACTTTGATCTAACAGCAACAACAACAAAACACAAGTCGGGAACATCTTTGCTGACTGAATATAAAAGAACTTAGTCAGTCTAAACATTCATCTGATTACAAAACAAAGACACAAATCGCCACCTAAGATTCTAAGTCCTAGGGTTCCACCACAGAGAACTTGGTTACAATTTTCTACCATAATCCAACTGTTTTATCAAATAGTCTTCATCTGAATAAGGAGTAAAATACTAGTCAAAAGAAATGACTGATGATTAACGTTTTTAGGGCAAGAATTTACATTCATTCCATGAGTCATCCTCTGAACTCTTTTGAAAATAATTTTTTTGAACAATGCTTTGGGGGCACAAGAGTATTATTTCAAATAATTGTTCACTCAGTGGGAAGGGTCTGTTACCCTGTTACACAGCTCTCAGGAACTCTGATCTGGAAGGGACCAACGACTCACCTCTCCAAGATAGCATATCTGCTTATGTGCAACTTCAACGAAAACTTCTATAATGAGGTTGACTGTCTCTGGCGTGTTTTTGTAAACTTCCATCAACCCAATGCAATTGGTAAGGAAGTCCATAAGAAAGTTAAAAAGGATGGCCACATTGTCCACCTGGGTGGCCTCAGCAATGCCGCACAGGGCCTCCAGCGTGGCCGTGATCTCCTGCTTCACCTCCTCCTGCTGGCATGTCTGTGGGAAGTTCTCCTGGTTTATCACTCTCAAGAACCGCTGCTGAAGCGGCTGAAGAACCTAGAAAATAAAGCATGAGTTTTCTAAACGTATGACTCACAAGTTTTTTCAATTTGGACAAATACTCACTTTCCACCACATTTCTAATTGTTGGAGGCAAAAAAGCGCAGAAAACAAAGGTGATCCTAACTTCTGGCAAACAAATCACCCAGCGGCACATGGAAAGGTGCTCACATGATAAGGCAACAGGAAAACCAAGTCAAAACTCTGTGAAATACCTCACACCTGTCAGAGTGGCCATCCTCAAAAAAGACAAGAAACAAGAGCCGGTGAGGATGTGGAGGAAAGGGAACCTCCATGCACTGTCAGTGGGAACTTGAGTTGGTGCAGCCACTATGGAAACAGTATGGCGGTTCCTCAAAAAACTAAAATTAGAATTACCACATGATCCAGTCATTCCACCCTGGGTATTTATCTGAAAAAAGAAACACTAATTCAAAAAGATACACGCACCCAATATTCACAGCAGCACCACTTAAAACAGCCAAGATGAGGCAGCAACTAAAGTGTCCACTGACAGATGAATGGGTAAAGAAGGTGAGGTACATACACCCAGTGGAATATTACTTGGCCATAAGGACAAGGACATCATGCCATTCATTCATGGAGGGAGGAAGACGGTCAAAAGCACAAACTTCCTGTTAAAGCAAGCACTGGGGGTATAACATACATGACTCGACTACAGTTAACCACTGCTGTAGGAGATGTGGGAAGGTTAAGAGAGGCAATCTCAGGAGTTGTCATCACAAGAAAATAAATGTTCTTTAATTGCTTCTTCTTTTTCATTAGCCATGAGATGATGGATGCTAACTAAACTTACTGCAGCAATCCACTTCACAACATATGTAACTTAAACCATTATGCTGCAAACCTTAAAGTTATACAGTGATGTATGTCAATCACGTCCCAGTAAAACTGAAATAAAGAAGTTAATGTTTATGAAAATGCATGTAAGTCCATGCGATCATCTTACTTCCTTCAGTAATTTGAGAAGAAAAAAACCATGACTTCCTCAATGCCATTCACAGAATTCAGCTACTATTCTCATCTCTTTTCAATTAGGGGGAAAAAAAGATACTTTATAAAGGGGCCAGAGTGTAGCTATTTTAGACTTCACAGAACAAACTATCTCTGGCCTAACTACTCAATTATGATTTCACTGTAGTGCAGAAGTAGCCAAGGAAAAGATATAACTGATTAAGCGTGACTGTATTTCAATAAAACTTTATTTATAAAATCAGACAGCAGTCAGATTTGGCCTGCAGGCTGCAGGCCAACCTCTGTCCTATGGGTGAAGACCAATAAGCTCTGAGTCTGTCTCTTTCCTTCCCAACTCCTCTTGGCACAGACCATAACTCCAGATACTGAGGCCTGCCCTGGGTACAAGTAAATATGAGTAACCATGAAGAGGATGTCTTAATACTATTTAAAGCTGCACATACAATAATAAATTTAAATAGAACACATGGGACTGGGCTGGTTTTCAATCTGGTTCTAAAACCAGACCATTGCCTATTTCTGTTCTTGTGCCCTTTCTCAAGCACTGAGAGCATCCAATCACAGAGATGACAGACTCTCAGTCTGTCAGTGCCAGCTGAAACCTTCTTATGTAAGACACTGTGTCCAGGGAGGCTGCTATGGGTTGAATTGCATCCGAGCTGTGCTCAGTCATGTGTCCAACTCTTCACAGCCTCAAACTGCAGCCCACCAGGTTCCTCTGTTCATGGAATGTCCCAGGCAAGAATACTGGGGTGGGTTGCCATTTCCTCCTCCAGGGGATTGTTCGAACCCAGGAATCAAACATAGGTCTCCTGCATCGGCAGCTGGATTCTTTACCACTGCACCACCTGGGAAGCCCATGGGTTGAATTATATTCCCCCAAATGGAAATGCTGATGTCTGAACCCCTAGCACCTCAGAACACGACCTTATTTGGAAACAGGGCTATTTCAGAACCCCCACAGGTAACAAGGCTTCCCTGGTGGACACTGAGACACCAGGGCTTCCCTGGTAGTGCAAGCTGGTAAAGAGCTGCCTGCAATGTGGGAGACATGGGTTTGATCCCTGGGTTGGGAAGATCCCCTGGAGAAGGGAATGGCTACCCACCCCAGTATTCTGGCCTGGAGAATTCTATGGATTGTATAGTCCATGGGTTGCAGAGTCAGACACGACTGACCAACTTTCCCTTTCACTTCATGGGTGACACAGAGATGACATGCAGATAAGGGGAGCCGTTACCTCTGTCCAGTACTGCTGCTTGGTTTCTGTGTCCATGTGTGCAAACCCTCCCAAGACAAGTGCCTTCATTAGCGTCCTCTGCACAGGGCTGGACAAGAAGTTCAGAGGTGGGCTTCGGCTTGCAAACTGCTTGGCTAAGTTCCACCAGTTTTCACACTGAATGACTAAGTTTGCCCTGTAGGGAGAAAGGACAGACATAAGATGCATTACTTACTTACCCTGCATGGACACGCAGTAATAAAAGTGGAAAACAACTGGATTTAACTACTTTTTCAAGTCCAGCATGGTAAACTTGGTACAGACTTGGAAGTCTTGTATTCAAACCCAATTAGCCATTTGTCAATAAAATTTATTTAATCTCCCTTAATTACCAGCTTCCTCATCTGTAAAATAAAGATAACAAGAATAACAGCTCTGAACCTCATGACTGAGACTGATGGGATGTGCAGATGCCGCATGTGCAAAGTCAGGAGCAGCACCTGGTAAACTGTGAGAACTCAACAAACAGCAGCCAAAGACAGGAGTAACCACAACCACGGACCCACGGAGTAAGAAAACTGAAAACATTTCCAGAATTTGTTGTAGAACACACTAAAAATTTTATTCTGTAAAATTAAAGTAATTGTTAAATTACCAGCTTTTCTCATCTGTAAAATGGAGTAATACTAATGGGATACCTGAAAATTCAAATTAGACCACTCTACTCCTAATGTGGGAGAGACCTCTCTGCACTTGTACCAACAGTTTAATACATTTTCTAAAGCAGCAGTGCCTAACCATTTTGGCACTAGGGACCAGTTTCGTGGAAGACCATTTTCCCATGGACAGGGGAGGGGTGTGGGGGTGGTTTGCGGATGATTCAAGCACATCTCACTTGTGCTCCTGCCCCCTCATCTGACAGGAGGCGGAGCTCAGGCATCAGTGCCAACAATGGAGAGCGGCTGTAAATATAGATGAAGCCCGCTCACCTCCTGCTGGGCAGCCAGGTTCCCAATAGGACATGGACAGTACCCGTCAATGGCCCGAGGGGTGGCACCCGTTTTAAACACTGCTCCAAAACTACAGGGTCTCCCTGGACCTCAGGACCGGGTGACTGTCTGTCAGTGGGAAAGTCTCTCCTGACCTGACAGGCGGAGCTCAGACGGCAGTGCCTGAGGTCAGCATCTGCTCACCTCTCCCTTCTCTCCACCAGCGTGACAAGCAGCTGAACTGTGTCATCCGCGAGGCCCTGCTCGCTGCTGCACACCGAGAGGTTGTTCAGGACCTTCTGTAAGAGGTAGCCAACAATCCACTGAGAGCCCTCTGTGTCTGCTCCAAATGCTGTGCTGAACGGCACACTTATCTTCAGAGAGAAAACAAATGTTTTAAGGTCAGAAAGATCTGCTGAAAAAGAAAGGAAGAAAAACCCACACCAGCCCAGGCTGGGTGCATGAGACAAGTGCTCGGGTCTGGTGCACTGGGAAGACCCAGAGGGATCGGGTGGAGAGGGAGGTGGGAGGGGGGACCGGGATGGGGAATACATGTAAATCCATGGCTAATTCATTTCAATGTATGACAAAAACCACTGCAATGATGTAAAGTAATTAGCCTCCAACTAATAAAAATAAATGGAAAAAAAAAAAAAAAAGAAAGAAAAACCCACAGAGAAATCAAACTGAAATTAGCACTAAACCTGAAGTACCTCGCACCAATTTTCTATAGGTATTCATTTCCTGAAGTCCAGAAAGGACAATTCTTAACCCACAGATGTTCCCCACTGTGGCTTCTCTGTTAGCATTAACTATTCTCATAACAGGAACACAGGCAGGTATTTACATCAAATGCAGAGAATGTAAATTAATCCATTCCTAAATAGTATTCTGAACTTCACAGAGCTTAAAGTATGCAGAATCACATGATGCGCTCTAGGAAAAGTTAATAAAACAGCACGCTGTCCACACAGTGTGGAAGATGCTTGGCTATTACTCACATGCTGATAAGAAAATCACCAAGAAAATTGTTCTCATTTCTCTAACTCCCATCCTCATAAAGGCAAACCCAGTCAAGCGGTGCCACATTCTGACCTGATCGTACAGCTTCTCATCCACCAGGAGGTAAGTCTTTGCCCAACGCTTTAGAAACCAGACAATGTCTTTGCCCATCTGAGGGCTTAGCAGGTGTGTGAGGTCAGCCCTTATTGCCCGAGACTCAACTTCTGAAACTCTGAGGACGGCAGACAACAGCCTGTGGGCACAAAAAGGAGGTCATGTATTTCTTTATTTACTTACAGGCTGTCTAACCATATTTTTTCCCCTAAAAGCCCTTTTCTGTTTCTCAACTCTCTGAAACTGTCTTCAAGAGGGTTGGAGACACATCTGTGTCTCTTATTGCTGACCTTTCAGGAAGCAGGAGGAAAGAAATAGAGTCATGGCTAGAGACACCTCCTGCGGGGACAGAGCACACATGAATCTACCATGTACAGATTCAAGATGGAGAAGTGCATGAAGTTAACCGCACAGAGTAAATGCAACTTAAAATTCCCACTGTTGGCACTGCTCTATTTTCACATGGGGGCTATTCTACGGTGTACATGGGCACAGCTAAGTGACTCATCTGAATATTGAGTCTTGTCTCTAAATCTGTCAGTCTTATTTACTTTCTAACAAACTTGATTAGTAATGGCATTTTTCAATAAAAATGTTGCACGTATGATCCTTTCTGAACACTATGGGGTTCAGATACTACACATATCCTGTGTAGTATTAACATAGCAGGATATGCAGGTAAGTAAAAAAGTCTTTGTTCTGCGTTTGGGAGGGGACACAAGTGATGTCCATTTAACTTGACTTTGGCTAAAAGGCAAAGCAGCGAAGGACTGAAGGGGAGGAGCCCATCCTGACACCACTTCAGCAACTTCAGTGCCGAGGTAAGACCACTCCTCTCGGGACAGAAATCCCCTCGTTACATGGAAGCTCATAGACAATTTCAGTTCCTGACCCAACCAGCTACTGAGAAGCACCTCCTGCTGTGGGTGCTCCCTGCTGCCCGGCTCCTTCCGGGCCTGTGACACCACCCCCACCTCCCATACCACGTAGGTTCTAAGGTCCTGTCCCCAGAACCTCTTATGTCTCACTATATATATATATATATGTATATGTATATACAATGCTATGCCAACAGTGCTAAAAGTTAAAGAGTTTATGAACAAAAATAACCCAACAATTTCACAACCCATTTTAAGCTGGCCTATCAGATTTTTTCCATTAATTGTTTAAATGATATAATTTGCAGCTTCACAGAATCTGAACTAAGTAATTACAGTGGCCACTTGAATGTATGCATTGGAATGTAATAATCAGAGAATTCTGACACCACCATCATTCATTTGAAAAATAAACAAATTGTTCTTTTAACAGCTGGAAACTTTATACTTTTTCTCCTTAAAATTTTTATTTCCATTTCATTCCCCATAAAATATTATCCTAACACAATAAATGTTTATACTCACTTTATTGATCATATACCATACACTTCTCTGAAACAAGTATATAAAGATATTAAAATACCATTCTTAAAAATTTCCCATAAGTCTGTGCTAAAGATGTCCTCTGGATTAAGTTATCATTACAATACTTATTAGTACACAACTAAGCAAAATGTAATGCCAATTTAAATAAATTAAACACATTTATTTAAAAATTTCTGTACAATATAGCCAAAATCTCATAACTATAAATGTCACATAAACTTTAAAAATTGTGAATCACTATATTGTACAGCTGTAATTCACATAATATTGTAGGCCAATTATACTGCAACTTAAAAAATTAGCATACACAAAGATGTATGTATCCGAATAAGATAAATGTGGGTTTTCTTTTTCTAAATTAGCCCATATTATGTTTAATTTGATTACTGCTTTTCATTTCAATGGATATAAGCACTGAGAACACACATTCACCTAAGTAAACAGAAGGTATTTCTAAAACAGCAGGGTACCTGGTGCCTCTGAGGTAAAGCCCACGTTCGTGGCATCAAGTGACATCACGTGACATGACAGCAGCCGTGAGGTCTGCCCGTGGCCCTGTCTGCTTCCCGCAGCTCCTACGCTGGCTAACAATTCCCCCGCCTCCTACTTCTCCCTCTTGCCCATGAGGAGCTGGAAGATGGGAGCCTCTGTCTGCTTTGGCTAGACCAGTGTCTGGTGCATAGTAAGGATTCAGTAGTTGTCAAATGATCAATTCTTCAAGAAATATGAACTACTTTTTTAATAAACAAGGCCTGATTCTCTCCTACCACTCAATTTCACACTAATTATTTGGACTGAAAAACAATAGTGATTCTTTGTTGTTTCACCCCCACCTCAACCCTCCATAGTCTGTGCTCTCAGATACCAAAATGTTTTGCCCCCACACTGATACCCAAGAGTGGTAAGAATCGAAAAAGCACTGAAAATACAAGGACAGCTTTCCTGAGGGTGCTGCCCAGACAGGGACAAAGGCATGGAAATAACAGGACGGCACCATGGAATTAACACTCCCCATGAACCAAACCAATCCAAACCAGTTGCTCACCTAAGGCCTACAAGCAACTCCAAAGGGAAGAAAGAAGAGTCTTCCAGTAAAGCGTGGGTATTTTATTCCCAATGAGAGAATGCAACAATAAAGGAAATAAATTCCCAAACATTTCCCTGACGTCTGCTTGACAGTTTAATGTTTTAAAAATCGTATTTTTCATTGCACAGGTTTAAGTGGTATCTATGTATTTGCATTAAAATAAAAAGAATGAGGGGGCAGCATCTTGAGTTACTGATGTTGCAACTGACAGAAGCAGTATTATTTCATTATTCTCTCTTCCAGCCACCTAAATTTAAAGATGCTGAAACTTAAACTGCTGTTTTCAAATCTGCTTTCAGGAGGATATTTAGTTGAGGTTCATCCCACCTTAACCTCACCACCAAGAATTAATGGAAGATCTGCCAATGGTCTTAGAAAGATCACAGTGAATTTTCTCTCTGGAGGCTGCTGCCATCTTGTAACAGGGCTGCCAAGGGTCACATACTCAGGACAAAAACTTTTGCTTTGAAAGAGGCGGTAACGCCCCTGGAAAGACGTTCCAGCTTCCCAAACAGTAAGGATGTGCTCACGTCCACCTGGTTTCCAAGAACTCCCCAGTCCTGGTGCTTTCACTCGGATGCCTGAGCCCACATTAGCACTGCTTTCTGGTGGGCAAGGGATGTGTCTGTGACAATCAGCCCAGATGTCCCCCCAGAGCCTCGCTACACCCGGAGTAACCTCACGCTGTTTTCCTCAGCCCTGGACACGCTGTCCGTTCCCAGCAGAGTGACGCTGCTCAAATGCACAGAGTACCTGCATCCTTGCTTGTTTCAAGGCTTCTCCAAGTTTTATCTTCTTTCATGTGTCAGCTTTACAACAACCTGTCTGTCACTCAAGTCATCTACCCATCAACTCAGAATTTATAAAACAGAATAAATTACAAGAGCACAGCTATAGAGGTCATATTACCTAATCACAGAATCTGTTCTGTTGTACCCTGGGATGGAAGAAGCCTTTTCTCCTGGAGATCCCAAAATTTGAAGTGTTGTATTAATGTCAACTTCAGATGAATGCTTAATGGAATATTCCATTATTTCTGGAGGTATTAGCGGAGTCTCTCCCTGAGTATCATCAGCTAAGAGGTAGCCTTCAGTTTAAAAAAAATTAAAAATGAACACTTAACAATCTACATTTATCAAATTGCACTATAAATGCGTTCAGTTTTGATTTATATACATCATATAAATTGATGTAAAAGTAAATAATAAACGTTAATATGTTAATTTCAAGCTTGATGAGAAGAAACTTTCTATTTCTAAGATAATTAATCCTCAAAAATACAGGAAAGGACAAATGTTTTATTCACCAATTTTAAAATTCATATATTGACATGTAGGCTTTTTACTCTATGACCTTTAAAGAATTTCTGGTAATATATTCTGCAAAATTAACATGAATTCTATTACCTCAATAAAAAGTCAATATTTGGGAACGCCTTTCCAAACAGTAAGGTCTTTTCCCCTTTGATTATTTAAAATACAGAAACACTGACAACATGGTTACAGAAGACCCTAAAGGAAAGTCAGACTGCCAGGACCAGCACTCTGGCTCCAAATGTTAGCATGGCCAGGGCCAGTCTCCAGGTCTCAGCTTCTTCACAGATAAGACAGGGTGATAATTAACAGCCAGAGTATCAATAACAGCAACAAGGACACAGTGAGACCTAGTGACGGCACCAACGCAGGGGCCGCACTGAGCTCCACACAGATTATGTGGTTCGGGACCGGTAAGGACACTGCCCCTGCTCTGGGACACACGCAGCTGTGTCCAGGTCTCAAGTTCAACCCTACACGAGAACTGCTGCTATTAACACAGGCCAGGAAACAAGCAACTGACCTGTAACTAGAATGAGCCAGTGGATGTCCTCGTACAGGTCGTCTAATGTCTTGCTGTCGGCGGAGCCTGAGGCGGGCGAGGCGAGGAGCTGCTGCTGCTGCCGCTGGAGCTGCCCGTGGAGCCGCGTGACTCTCTCCTCTAACAGACTACAAGAGGGAAGACACCAACGCCTTCATGAGGCTTGGAGAGCAAAGACCAGAGCGACTTATCACTCCCATTTACTGACAGCGTGGATTCAGATGTTAGCACAGAGCACATATACAGAAATATTTATTATATACACAATGTTCTCATGGCGCTATAAGAATTGTGATTTATTGTTTATGACATAGTATTAAAACATCACTTTACAAACAATCAAGGTTTACAACAGGCATTTGAAAACCAGTTATTCCAAGTGTTTATTGATATGGGTCCAATGTTTCTCATACCACGTTTTCCATAATCTGTCTGCCATCTATGCTGTGGTGCCTGGGCTCCAAATGTACAAGCCAAGGAACGCCACCACGAGTGCGTTTCTGTCCACTTGTTCCATGTGCTGTGCCCGGGGCGGGGGTGTTTACAGTCTTTAAACACTTAAAGCTCTCCGGGGCATGTGACTACAGGGTGTTTGCTCCATGGGTTGTCTTTGGACCGTGTGTACCTTGTCAGGAGAGGGATACAGTGCTCTGCAGCAATGCGTCCTAGCATTCCTACACTGGCTAGCTGATCAGAAAACTGGTCTCGGTCGTCCTCCTGGAGTTCACTGATCTCTTCTTCCTCCCGAGAGGCCACTCCGTTGGCAGTCTGTTATTGACGAAAGAAAGAAAAGACTGAGCTGATCTTAGGACCCAGCCTGTTGCTATGCTGAGGAACAGAAACTCAGGACCTTCAAGAAGGAGCACCTTCAAGTGCAGCTGCTAGGGATGCCCGCCTGCCTGCCGTTACTAAAAGGGGGGAAATTCGAAGAGAAAGAAGTGGGGGTCTGACCACTCCCACCAATTACAGGTAAACATGGACAGTGCACACCTACACCCCACCCCCTACACGGAGTGGAGTTCCTGTCGTCTCTGAGGAGCTCTGACATCACCAAGAGCCACCACCCTTGGGTGTCACCCTTGTCACACCAGCAAGACACAGCAGGTGACTGAGAACTTAAGAGAAATGGAGAACCAGAAGCCACAGCCCATGAAACACAAACCTGCATAGATGCCTGCTCTCCACGTGGCACTCTCAGCAAGTCTTTGTAAAGAGCTCACCCTAAATTTCTAGTATCAAGTGTGATGGGACAAACAGACCAACGAGAGCCCACAAGGAAACAGATTTTTAACTACAACCTGGCTGAAAACTCACCAGATTCCTTGTGCCATCGGGTGCAGCGAGGTGGCACTGAATGTAGGAATTGAACACCTGGACTGCGTGCTGGGTGAAAAAGCCTTTATGGAAGTGCTTGTCGTCTTGTACCAGCGTCAGCCAGGATTCCAGCAGCCTGTCGTATGCCTCCATGTACACCATGTCATCTTTGTCCAGCTAGGAGGAAGGGGCATTCACAAGACAGACACCAGTGAGACGAGTCACCACAGACAGGTCCACGCGGTGGCCTTCAACAAAGTTCCCAATCAGCAATCAGCAACTGAGCTAGCTGATCTCATCTTCAAATTAACTGATCAACTCAAACACTGCAGTAAAGATGTACAGGCTTCTTATTAGACTTTCTAAAAAGCTTTCTAACTTAATCAAATTCTTAGGCAAATAGGAATTAATGTTCATTTCTGTAAAAGACTAACCGTTCAGCACTTTGTAGATCATGTATTTTTCAAGCAAAGATAACTGACATTTGTCTATGTCAAGAAGAGAACTGTTCGGGCTTTGTACATACTCCATGACATTGTATTAGAAACTGGAAAGGCAAGAATGGGCCTCAGAGAACCTGGAGGAGGGCCCTAAGGAGAAGCATGAGTGAGGACGCATGGGGAGGCCAATGGATGGCGAGCAAACCTGGGGGTCACGGGTGGGTGTCAGACTTGGATAGCATGTCCCCAGCATGGACAGGCTGGGTTCTAAGATCACTTCAGAGCAGAGGGTTTCTCAGTGAGGAAGAGTCCACACTGAGCGACTCTGGGCAGCTCTGCGAGCGCAGCGTCTGACACTTTATTCTTCTCACGTGCCAGTGAGAAACCACGCCTGAATTTTGCCATTAATTAGTAGGACTGTATACAATTTAGCTTTGCATTGATTTGTTCATCCACAAATTCACCAGATCACCAATCAGTGAAATCCAGAATACTTATGTATCAAGCACTATGTTCAAAAACATAAATAACAGCATTCAGAGACTTTCACATTTGAGTCCAATGAAAAAAAGGGAGAAGCGAACAAACAATCACAGAAGACACACTAAAGGTCATAAGAGAGAAATGCACATCCCGGGGTTGGTATTTGCTGTGATAATGGTGTCTCTCAGGTTTGGTCTACAGCTTGTCTTCTAGCCTCAAGCTACAAACACAGAGGTCTGGAACCTCCATCACAGGACAACCACCTCAGACTGTTATCCCAGCAATCTGTCAATGACTCAAAGAAGGAAGTAATGGGAGATCTCTTTCAAGAATTCCAAATTAAGCCAGATGTCAAATACCACCTTCAGACGGGAGTAGGTAAGCATCTGAAGAACTGCGTCCAGCAATAGTGTTTTATGTCTTTAGCTTTTACTAACCTAGGAATACAGAGAAAAATGGTCATTTTCTACATCAAATGAAGCTTTAATTTTTTGAAAAATATTTAAAAGTAATCTGTGAAAACTTCACAAAAGAATAAAGGGAAAGTAAAAAAAACCTTCATTAGATAACTTCATAAAGAATTTAAAAATAGCAAACCCAGAGCTTCCCTGGTGGTCTAGTTGTTAAGAATTCATCTGCCATCACAGGGGACAGAGTTCATTCCCTAATCTGGCAAGATCCCACATGCCTCAGAGCAACTAAGCCCGGGAGCCGCAATGGCTGAAGCACACGCAGCTGGAGCCCCTGCCCTGCAACAAGAGGCCCGAGCACCTCAACAAGAGAAAGTTCTCTTCAGCAATGAAGAACCAGCACAGCCAAAAATAAATCAGTAAATTATACAAATAATTTTTTAAAACAGCAAACCCAAATTTTATTCCTATTTTTCTGATCGTGAAGGTGTTTTTACTGAAAACAAGCAACATTATTTGAGTACAACTAACTAGGACATACTCATGTTGTAAACAGTCAATTCTTAGTATCTGTGATATTTACATCCTGTAAAGTTGACCCAGCACTGAATCAGCAAACACTCTGGTCACTGCAGTTACACTGTGCAAAGGTGGACAAACGGATACATCACCTTGTTTCACACGTGTTTCTGTGCATAGACACCCTACTTCACATACAATGCTGATTCATGGCCAGCAGACTGTTCAACAAAGCTCATCTAACACACACATCTTCTCCCTAAGGCATGCCCCAGCCTCAATGCACTTGGGCACAACACCTGGAAGCCATCTGAAATAGCAAGATCATCGAATTGTTAAGTACTTCAGTATTTTTTGACAAAAATTTGGGGAACCCCATTTCACACAAAAATGCAGCACTGGAGATGGTGAGAAGGACATCTGTTTGCAGTGAGAACAAGCATGCTGGGTGGATCATGGTTTTTGTCACTCTTGCATGCACATGTCCGTCCATAAATGACCAAGAAAAGTCACACTAGTACTGATTTTGGGGGTCACAAAGAGTTCTCAGCAAGAAAGTGAATCTGCAAATATGGAATCCACATTCAACGAGGACCAACTGCACTTGTAAAGTCTAACTCCAGGAGGTCCTAGCGTCCTACTCATGCTGGTTCTTCCTGCTCACGCATCATCAGAAGGTGTTTTTTCAAACCTTGACAGCTCGTAATTTTGTTGAAGGACAGCCATGTTCTTGGTTCCATAAAGGCAGTAACATATATTCGCTTAATTTCTAAATACCAATAAAAATTATCAATTCAGTCAATTTTTCCATTACATCAGTTATTTCCTTCCACACTGCTTTCAATGCAATTATAAACCCTATTAAATAAAATTGTTTTGCACAAACATCAAAAAAGATGAAGGAGTACCATCACTAAACTTTAGGAAACTTTAAACTCACAAAATATTGGGTGAAGCTTTTCCATAGAATAACTGACTGGATGGGAATGCCATATTTTCTTTTTGTTCTTGGAAATAAGACTGTTGGCTCATAAACTGTTGAGCTTGGGAAAACTGATCGCCTAAAACTGTCTCAGATTTCACTTACACATCAGTTTTACCAACATTATTAGAGCTCAGAGAGCTGCTGTCTCTACATTCACCTTCTGCTTAGCACTGAGAAACATCTTATTCTGAAAATTTCTCTCTGTGATACTCTGGGCAGAAAGTGAAAAACTCTGAATTTAAAATAGCATCCAATGAAATGTTAACAACAACAACAACATAACATAAAAAAGATGGCATCTCAAGACCTCTTGAAAGACTGTACCATATTTTAGAAAATGCAATCAGGAAACTGAAGTCATAAAGAGTAGTTATTTATTCTATTTGTGATGATTAATTTCACTATTCCACCAACCTTGTAGGTGATTCTATCATTCTTCCATTTTCTTATTCCTTTAGTCTCTTTTTTTAATTATAGATGGGAATTGATAAGTAATGGTGAACTACTTTCTAAGATTATGAAATAGCAAAACACTTCAAAATATAAAGCAGATCACTGAAATTCCACAATGCATTTTAGCCTTATGTTAAGATAATTACAAATATTCTTTTTGTTCTAAGGTCTCTAAGAAAGAATAAAAATAATGAAAAACTGATGATTAAACAGAGCTGTTCAAAAAGAAATCCAAAAGCTAGACTCTGGTGGAACACTGAAGATTAAAGAGTCAAATAAAACCTATTCAGACATCATCTGTTGCCATGGGATTGAGGATCCGTGTCATTCACAACATGAAGCTTTGCAGGAGATCATTTTCCATCTTTATTTTTACCAAATATTTGGGAGCATTCCTCTGAGGAGCAGGTGTGCTTCCTCTTTTTCCCCCAAGAGCCTTCTAAGGACCTGGTTATCTCCAGCCCCTTCTAAAAAGTCAGGCTTGCGGGTTACAGATACTACAGCCTGATTGTTCAGACTGCTCCTTTTCTCTAAGCTTGACTTTCTACTTTCCTCTTTCATCTAATTGCCTTCTGCAAGTTCTAAAAGATTATCTCACTCTAAACGTTCTTTTTATAAGCCATCAGAAGTCTTGTATGAAACAAAGAGTTATGAAAAAATACAATAACCTCTGTTATAGTTTTAATGACTAAGTTCTTTCTCTCTAGGACACGTCCACTGTTAAAGGCTGCCTAATTCATGAAAGGGAAACCTTACAGAGAACAAGACACCATTTGAGGGGTTATGTGAAAATGGAGCTGATTTAAGAATGTCTGTCTAACTGGGGAGTCACTTGTGATTTGTGCATGAGAGTATTTGCTGCAGCATTACTGAAAACAGTACAAACTAATTCACTGAATCATTCCCTAAAGTTCTGCATTAAAAATGATTTCTAACTCCAATTAATGACGTTAGATGATTATATAAAGGTATTATATAGGTCTGGATGTGAATCAACAGATGCCAAGAAAGTGATAAATGATGGAATGGTGGAGAATTTTAATTTCATGTACTATCTGAATTGCTTTTACCAATGACCATATACCATTTTCACATTAAAACTGTATTCTGAAATAACAGTAGGAACAAAATTATAAGAAATAGGCATGTTTCATTCTAATAAATGTATTAATAGAAAAAAAAAGTGTCTTCATATTTGGATCAAGGAAAAAAGGAAACCTGAATACTCCCATAACTAACCAAAAAAAAAAAAATTTTTTTTTAATTCTTCCCCCAAAGAAAATACCAGCTTATTAAACTTACAGGTGAGATCTACTAAACTAGCAAAAAGCAAAAACAAAACAACCAATCTTACAGAGACTGATCCAGAAAACAGGAAACAAGAATGAGAAAGACATAACTCAGGAAGTGATGTGACCCTGACACCAAACAAACCCAGCCATTCACAAAAGGCCATGACACACGGTTGAGCTGGGTTCAACTCAGAAATGCAAAGGCAACTTTAACAAAAGAAAAATCTATAAAACCAACTGATCACACTAACAGATCAAGTAGAAACACAATTAATGACATTCAATACTCAACCATGTTTTAAAAATCTATTAGTGGGGCTGCCCTGGTGGTTCGGTGCTTAAGAATCCATCTTCCAATGCCGAGGACACAGGTTCCGTCCCTGGTCAGGGTACTAAGATCTCACCTGCCTCGGGGCAACTATGCCGGCAAGGTGCAACTACCGAGGCTGCACTCTGCAACAAGAGAGGCCCCCATGCAAGCAGAGAAAGCCCACATATCACAATGAAGACCTAGCAATCAAAATTTAAAAACAAACAAAAAACTTATTACTCATTCTGATAAAGGAGAGCTCAAAAACGGTTAGCAAACATTACT